CTGTTCCTTTCTCTTTCAAACAAACTATTATCCTTGTCTCCAATGCTAGTAATAATTGCACAGGAAAAGATTTAGTAAAACCTATCATTTTTAGTTGCTGTTTAATTATGCAAGTTTATTATGTTATTGTTTAGTCGGTTTAAATGTTAGAATTTTCTTCTTTAAACTTTAATGTTGTCGTCACTACATCTGGAAAACCACGTAAGAACAAATTAAAAGTATTTTTAAAGAGACCAGGTTGTTTGAAAATCCTAAACGAATGCTAAAAATCGTCAAAACATTCTGGTGTCTGAGCCAGAGTGTCATCGCATTGTGATGTTAGGTAAACAGAATTTATAGCAAGTTGATGTCAGTCAGCTTAGATGGTCCAAGCCGAAATTATATCGCATTTGAAGTTTCAAACTGAGTTAAAAATAGTGGAAGAAAAGCCGTAATTATACTTATTGTTACAATCCATTTAATAAAATGCAACATTTTTTTGTTTTAATGAAAAAATCAGTTATTTTCATGAGAACGATTTGTTATTCCATCTCAATTTTTTAATCTCCAATCGCAATAACGTAAAGTATTATTACCCGCGAACCAATGAGTCAAATTTAAGAAACAACCCACTGTTAGAAAGCTGAATGGCTACGCTTTAAAATGAATGTAAACTTTAACGTTTTCGTCTATTATTTGTTTAGCAATTTACATTTCAGTCGAGGATTGCGCTTTTTTTGATACACCCTGTATATATATATATAGTTCTTCGTTTTACCTCAAAAAACCACAACAGTCTGTTTCATCCGTATAGGAATCATCAGGTGGTGAATAATTTCGAAACTGTAGGTTGCTTTTATGCTATCGAAACAATGCTTAGATGAAACAATGCATGCTTGGGTGAAACAATGCTAAGCATTGTTTCGCCTACACGCATTCCGCACATTCTTTCGATAGCATAAAAGCAACCTACAATTTCGAAATTATTCACCACCTGATGATTCCTATGCGGATGAAACAGACTGTTGTGGTTTTTTGAGGTAAAACGAAATACTATATTATGCTCTATCTATATGTATTTATATGTTTGTGTTTGTATATCTATATCTTAATCTATATATATATATATATATATATATATATATATATATATATATATATATATATATATATATATATATATATATATATATATATATATATGTATATATATATATATATATATATATATATATATTTATAATATAGTCATCCACCGTATATGAGCTGTTCTGCAATCTGATTGGTTGAATTACTCGCCGTATATCAGCTCATATACGGCGAGTAGCGAAAAACAAGATGGCGGTCCAAAAACTACATGAGTTTTGCGAAGCAAAAAAAGGAAAATATTCGCTTTGAGAATAATAATATTACAAGGAAAACTCTCAAAAAAAATTTGACAGGTTAGCAAAATACATTTATTACGTAGAAATTAGTTTAAATACAAGTTTTTTTAAAGAATTAATACCAAAACAACAGCGAAAAAACATGTCCATTGAGAATATAAATTGTTCAGAAAAGTTTGCAATGAACAACAAATGAATTTGCAGTCAACAAGCACTTACTATAGTACCAAACATCTGTATAATATATCTGAGCTTTCCTGTGAGATATAGAGGTTCTAAAACCATTTCTTTCACTTCGACTTCGAGTTGTAAAACAAAAGTATTTCAAATTTTCAAGCGATTTTTGGCCGAAAAAATTGTCAACACATTGTAACAGTGAATAATTAATTGCTGCTTCAGTTAATGGCTATATTAGACTATATTATAAAACAATTATACCATTCGCTCTCGTCGTATATGGCTGATAGCCGACTCGGTGCTACGCACCTCGTTGGCTATCAGCTCATATACGACTCGACCTCATGGTATAATTGTTAAATCTATATATATATATATATATACATATATATATATATACATATATATACATATATATATATATATATATATATATATATATATATATATATATATATATATATATATATATATATATATATATATATATATATATATCTATGGCCTTTAGGTCATATTGAGCGCTCTACAGGATGAGCCATGCCGCTTACGCATTGCGCACGCTCACTGCTTGCAGTTTGAGCGCTCTGGCATGGTTTGATGTCCCACAATCGTGAGGCATCAAAGGTAACTATAAATAAGAGTTACTTTCATCCTGCTCATCAGCACTACACTGATGAGGCCCATTAGGCCGAAACGGTACCGTCTATATATATATATATATATATATATATATATATATATATATATATATATATATATATATATATATATATTAATTGTGTAATTGTACACTCTGTAATATGTTAAGATGAAAATGTTCTAGAGTGTGTATTATATAATTTCCATACCCAGCGCAAGCAGAAAGATGTTGTCTGCCGCGGCTGGGTTTTGAACCCGCGACCTTCGAATTACTAGATCGACGCTCTACCAACTGAGCTACACGGTCAGACGGATTTTAAGACTGGAAATTATGA